AAAACCTCTTTCATCACTCCAAAGGGCACTTACTGTTATAGGGTGATGCCTTTCAGACTTAAGAATGTCAGAGCTACGTACCAGCGCCTCGTGAATGAGATGTTCAAGGTGTAGATTGGGATGACCATAAAAGTCTATATGGACTATATGTTGGTAAAGAGCATGGTTGCGGCAGATCACGGGACACATCTGCAGAAAACCTTTGACATCTTAAGAGCCTACAAGATGAAGCTGAACCCTGAAAAGTGTGCATTCAGCGCTAGTTTAGGAAACTTTTTAGGCTTCAAGGTCAACAAAAGGGGTACTAAGGCCAACTCAGATAATATCAGAGCTATCTTGGAGATGAAGTCCCCAGCCTCTGTAAAGGAGGTCCAACGCCTTAACAAGAGGATAGTAAGCCCTCAGCAGGTTTGTCTCAAAATCAGTAAACAAATGTCTGCCTTTCTTTAAAGTCCTTTGTAAATCTTTTCAGTGGGGACCAGATGTAGGAGACATTCTAAAAGTTAAAGACCTACCTCATTACATCCCTTTGTTCTCTCATGTTGTACTAGGAGAGACCTTGAACCTCTCCTCCCCATCCTCTACCGGGAGCTCCATCCTTGTTAAGGAGAATGGAGGCGTCCAAAAGTCTGTGTACTATGTAAGCAGGGCATACCGAGGAACAGATGTAAGATACTCAAAGCTCTTGCACTTGTCACCGTTGTCAGGCACCTACGCCACTACTTTCAAAGTTATATCATCATGGTTGTTACAGATCTACTACTCAAGAGAATTCAGGGAAAGCCTGACGTGTTTGGCCAACTACTCAAATGGGCCGTTGAGAAGAGTTCGATGTGCAATACCAGCCAAGGGCATCCATAAAAGCGCAAGCAGATGCAAACTTTGTGGCCGAGTCTACACCATTACATGAGTCCCAAGAAGAAATACCATGCACTTATGTGTTCGTCTGCTCAATACATAGCGCCTTCAGTCATCACGAGGCAAGCCTAGACACTATCTCCTGAAAAGCTTGATGACTTGGAGACAGCCTCTCAGGCCCCTAAAGACCACACTCCAAGGCTAGTGGCACTTAGCTCCCTTATACCTACTCCTCCAGAGTCCTCAGCGCCCTCACTACCCACACCTCAGTCTATTACGCCATACTGGAGACTATATGTAGATGGATCCTCCACTAGCGAGAGCGGCGGCGCAAAACTAGTGCTGATAATCCCCCATGACACTCAACTCAAGTACGATGTCTCCCTCCACTTTGCAACATCAAACGACCAAGCAGAGTACGAGACTCTCATATCAGGTTTAAAGCTTACAATAGAGATGAAAACCCTCTGTCTGACAGTTTATAGTGATTCCTAGCCTATAGTAAATCAGGTGAAGAGAGACTTTGAAGCAAAAGAGGAAAAAAATACAAGAGTACCTGTTAGTGGTCCAATCTTTGTAAAAAAGTTTACCTATTTTCAACTCCACCATGAGTCTAGAGAAGAGAACTCCAGGGTAGATACCCCCACCAAGTTCGCATCTGCCAACATACTCGTGGGCCTAGCGCTAACAAGTCACCAGTTTGAGCCAAGCAAATTCAAGGTAGAGGAGAACGATGTTAACTGTGCATCCTTCGAAGCTAATTGGATGACACCTATCCGAGCCTACCTACAAAGAAGACACTCTCCTAGATAACCCAGTGGAAGCCAAAAAGATAAGAACAAGAGGATCTAGATACGTCATCCTATGTGACACTATCTACAAGAAAAATTATTCACTACCACTACTCCACTGCCTTACCCCTTAGGAAACAAATTATGCCATAAGGGAGATCTATAAAGGGATATGTGTAAATCATTCAGGAGGGCATGCATTAGCTCACAAGGCAGTAAGGCAAGACTATTACTGGTCTAGCATAATCAAAGACAGTTGTGAGTTCGTGAGGAAGTGTGACAAGTGTCAGCATTTTGCAACTGTGCCTAGACAATCACCAGAAGAGCTCACCACCATCTTGAGTCCATGGTATTTCTCCATGTGGGGGGATTGACTTTCTAGGTCCCTTACCCATGAGTCGGGGGCCGGTGCAAGTTTGCGGTAGTAGCCATTGACTACTTCACAAAGTGGGTAGAAGCCGAGACCTTAGCCAAAATAACAGACCAGAAGGTGAAAAATTTCATCTGGAAGAGCATAGTCTGCCGCTTTGGAATACCTCATCCAATTATAAGCGATACTGCCAAGCAATGTGACAATAAACTCCTGAACAGCTTCTGTGCAGACCTGCAGATCAAGTAACCCCACTCTAGCCTAGCCCATCCGCAGGCGAACGGGCAGGCGGAGGTCACTGTCAGAACCATCCTCCGCAACCAAAAGACCAAATTAGAGAGTGTGAAGGAACGATGGGTGGATGAACTACCAGAATTACTATGGGCTTACCGAACAAAGCCAAGAAGGCCCACGGGTAAGACCCCTTTCTCCTTAGCCTATGGGTCAAAGGTAGTCATATCAGTCGAAATTGTGGTACACTCCTTTAGGATCCAACACCATAACCTTTCCACTAATGAAGAAGGCATTTACATCAACCTCAACTTGGTAGAGAAGGAAAGAGAAATAGTCATGCTCAGGAATGTAGAGTATAAGTGTCGCATGATTAAGTACTACAACTGGAGAGTGAAGCCTCACTCCTTCTTGCCTGAGGACCTACTCCTCAAAAAGGTAATCCTATCTACCAATGACTCTCAGGAAGGAAATTTATGTCTAAATTGGGAAGAACCCTACATGGTCATAGAAGTTGTAAGACCTAGCACCTACAGAATTTAGAACTCTGAACTCTGAAGGAAAAATCCTGGCCTATCCATGGAATGCAGAACACCTGAAGAGGTACTACCAATAACAGGGGGCAAGTCAATGGGTGCATAAGTTAGTGGTCATCATTTAAACCATCTCTGGTTGTTTTAGTCAATTTTATGCTCTCTACTTCGAATTATGAAATAAAATTGTACAAGATTGTCTTTTTCAAAAACTGTCTCTCATTCCATAGAAGTTCATAAACTATTCACAAAAGATAAAACATAACTTAGCAACAAAAAGAGACATGTTGGTAAATGATTCATATTCTTGACATCACTCATTGCTCCCTGATTCACTCTCATCAAAGCTCTCTTCCTCGTCATTAGTCTTTACTGCCTCATAGGGGACGAAGCCAGAAAAGTCATAGGCAGAAAAAGCTACCGAGATATTTCCCTTAAGTTCCTCATAACTATCAAAGAAGGCGTCTGCCACGACCCTCTCAACAACATCTATTTTCTTCTCTATCTCAATGGAGTGAGTCTTTGCCTTAGTAGCTCTCTCAAGAGCTATTCGAAAGTCAGCCTCTACCACGACAGCTCTCTCCTGAGCAATTTGTAGCTTAGCCTCTACTCCAGTGGCCCTCTCATAGGATGCTCGCAGCTATGTCTCTCCTCTCACGCAGGCAGCCTCTCTGTCAGCCTCCAACTAGGCTGCCTCTCACGAAACGCCAAAAGCTCGGTCTCAAGGGGTACAACTCTCTCGTGTGCTAGCCTCAATTGTTTCTTTGCAGCCTCTCGTACCTGCATCTCGAGCCTCAATTACTCCTCAACAACCCTCATGCCTGCCTCTCTATTGTTAAATCTCTAAATGCCTCTCTAAGCTTCATCATTCTTGAAAAAAGGCAGGAAAAAAGCGACAGCCACCTACAAACATGCAAAAAGTAGGACATGAAGGAAAAGAAGCTGGTACAAAATCAAAGATAAACAAAAGGCATACCAGGAGCAAAGCCCTTCATAGCAGTGTCAATGATGCCCTCCTGAACAAGAGTTGACCTCTTGGATCTCCATAGTGATCACAAACCCCCAAAGTCACTCTTTGACAAGATTCACGTCCTGCAACATGGATACTGAACCATTACTAGAAGCAAGGCATCTATGTGGAGCTCTATTCCTCATAGAAGATTGCACTGGAGCCTCAATCCCTACAACCGTACTAGACTAGCTCTGAAATGCGATGGAGTCACAGCTAGAGAAGGGGTGGGGGCATCACAGGTCCTGCCTCCCGAGAAGCAACTTGACCAACGAACCTCGGCTGGGAAGCACTAGGGCCATCAGACTTTGCCCTCTTAGAGGAAGGAGGGGAAGATGTCATCCTAAAAGTATAAAAAGTTTCCATCATTGCTCTATCAATAGTAGAACCTATAAAATTGGTGTAAGACAAAGAATCTACAAAGTCATAACCATCAAAAGTTAATTGGGAAGATAAAATACCTTTTTTTTTCTGCTTAGAAGAGGCTCTGGGATGACTTGATGTGGACATGATGGTCGAAAACTCCTTGAAAGAATGATCCCGCACGACCTGGAGCCTATTATCCTGCTCCGCAGATAATGTGGGTGGAGTTGCAAAGGAACCAATCACACAGTAGGAACAAATACTTGAAGATCAGACATAAAAGCAAAAATAAAACCCTTACCTACCTTGGTCTGTAGAGCAATGTCCCACCTCGAGGGTACTAGATGACGGTCTTCCTCTGTGGCCCACTCACCTCCAACAAAGAAGAATCTAGATTTTCAACTATGTCAATTTGAAGGTAGTTCCGTGATGAACTTGCTCGACCTCGGGGCAAAACGACACCACTCTTGATGGGGAGTAGGGTTATCCAAAAGTATGTATGAAATCAAAAACTCCTCAAAAAAGGGAGGAACATCAGCACCATGAACTAGCCGTCATAATGAGAAGAATGTCAAGATTACCCTCCACCCGTTTGGAGTCAATCTCCCTAGAGCCGGTGACAAGTGTCCCAAAATTCAACAAATGGGTTCGATATCGGGAACCTCAAACTTGCCTTTAGGACGTCCTCGTAAAGAACTATCTCTCCCTAGAATTCGTAACACGCCGGCTTGTCCTCCTTGGCCGGATGACACATAATAGCAGGAAGGATACGATACGAAGATAGAATAAGGGCGACATTGTCATCACAGTATATGGAGCTAAAGATCGAGATTACCTTTGACTCGTCATATATTAACTACTCCTTTGCCTCGCTGTGAAGCTTGCCTAATCTCTACCGTACTACCACTACCAACTCGGGTACCTGACAAAACAAAAGCCAATAAAAAGTGAAGGGTGTAAGGTTAGTCATGAACAAAGTTAAGTCACTTAGCCAAAAGGAGGTACCTTGTTTCCCTCCAGGCACTCCACCAAATGGTGCCTCAATGCTTGTCTCTATTCTCCGAGCACATGGATCCCTTGCTCTAGCAGTTAGCATGTTGCGAGAATCGATGGCCAGCCCACAGACGTCGCCTACCTAGCTTGGCTCCGCCCAGTATGTTGCTGGTATCACCCAGAGTGCATCTGGCGCCATTCGTCTTCTCCCTACCTCAACATCCTTGATTGCAAAGTCACCCTTAACAGCTAAGTCAACGCCACCTTTAGCAGCTAGGTCAGCGTCGCTCATGGTAGCAGATTCTGCGTCGCCTCTGGTAGAGGCGTCACTAATAGCATAGGCACTTTCTTCTTCGACGTTGCTAGTAGCACAGTGGGTGCCTCCCCATTTGCTTCCCTCTTTGGTGCAGCACAAGGCTTAGCTGGCATCACCCAGTAGCCTACTGGCGCTGCCCAGCCAGCTGTTATCGCCTTTTGCTTCATTGGTCACTGCAGAGTCCCCCTGTGAGATGGGTACTATTGTTTTTGTTGTGGGCTGAGTTTCAATAATTTTTACTGAAGAGCCTCCAACGTCTGATCTCGCTTGTAATTTCCCTGTGGCGGATTTACTTGTAAAAATTTCCGTTGTTACCTTCTTCTTTGGAGGTCTTTCCATTCTAGGGGTGAGAAGGTTGTTTAGCCTAGGATGAGGGAGGCAATGAAAGGGGTGAAAAGGTAATGAAGTGGTCAGTGATAGGGGAAACGAAGAAGCCATCACCGTGCACAATAAGAAATCTTGTTCTAGGAAAGGACTCACTCATACCTTCAACCCCTTTTTTTTTACAATTGGGCTTGGGGTATGGGGGGCAAATAATGAGCCTAGATCCAACTAGGTCAGACCCAATTAATTGAATAAGTAAGTCAAATTACTACAAGGCAGGTCAAGTCTAACTCATGGATTCGGTCTACTCCAAAGTTCAAGGAACACAAAAGGATTAGAGCACATGAGGAGTAATTACCAGGATAGTCACTCTCCAAGATCAAGATTATCTGTAATTATACTTATCCTAGTTGTAGCTATCCCTTCCGAAAAGCTAGAAATTTACCATCTACACCCACCACCTCAACTAAAACTCTGTGCCTATAAATTGTAAGCTCTTTCCACATGAGAGGGTCATTTGTCTATATACCATTTGCATAGCTATCTCTCTCATAACCACCAAACATCTCCCAGAGCTTACCATTGCTCGCTCTCTCTCTCTTACATCTTCTACTTTATTAATAAAGTTCTTTGGTCATCATTGCTGCATTCGAAGTAGAGTAGGTCACCTTAACCGAACTACTATACATCTGTGTATTGACCCAATCTTTGTCTTCTATTATTAATTACTTTTTAATTGCTTCATTGATTACTTTGCATTACACACTCGAATGTTGATTGTGTGCATAGGCCTATTTTATGTATCATCGGGTATTTTTCTTAATTTTTAACCTGCACATATACAATAGGCAGTTGCTTATTGGTAGTTCAAACCATTCACATACGCATTTACCATCAAAAAATTTACATTCGTTATCAATTAAAGTGAAATGAAAAAAAATTGATACTTTAGGGTACAATATAAAAAAATTTATAGTTGAGAATGCAAAATAAAATAAGGGTAATAGTTGAAAGAGATAAAGTGTAATTTACCTTAAATATTTGGGCTTTTTTAAAAAAGTGAGATATGAGATTTTTTTTTTCTAATAAAAAAATTACCTACAATCATACAGAAATACACACACAAACGCGCACATTGATACAACACAAACAAAAATATAAATATAAAAATAGACAAGGATAAAAATACAAACAGGGTAAAATATATAGATACTCACTTTACTGAAAATATATTTATATAAAAAGATAAAAGATTTTTACTAAAAAGTACATGTTTATAATAAGATAAAAAGAGTTTTTATCATACGACACACATATAATGAGATAGGAAGGTTTTTCCAAAAATTATAATAACAATCGAGATCATTTCAATTCAACAATTTATTTTATAACTTATATTTTAATCTTTTAATTATAATAAAATTTATCTTACTAATAAGTAATGTTCTCCAAACTAAGTCCTAATCACACTGCTCTTGTTGAAAAGGTAATATAAAAATATCATTCGAGTCCTCTCTATTTCATATAATGTCAAGGTCAGTCCAACTTCAATCATATACCATTATGATCCATCGGCATCTAACAGAATCCAAAAAATTCAACCATACATTACCCACATTTGGAAAATCCAATGAACCAACAACATTTAAATTATAATCAAAATTTGCTAAATGCTTAATCCCAAAATCTTTTCCTACAATTGCATCTGTAAGCCGATGATTTCCCATCAATAGAAAAGGAAAAAGAGGGAGGGGGGGGGGGGGGGGGGAAGGAAGTATGTCAACAGTTGAGCATTAAGGCATTTCGAGTTCACAATGTGGGTAATTTTTCTTTTTTTGCTTGGCACAATTTGGGTAATTGTATTACTGTAAGTCTCTAACCAAGCTGCATCAGTTTCTCTTTCTTCATTTCACCTCACTCCACTTTCTTGCTCAATTTGTCATCAACTTCTTGAGAGCTAGTAGTTTTAGATTCATCAAACTCCAACAACTGCAAAAGATAACGAAATAAGTAAACTGAGTTCAACTATATTAAGTTTCTGAGCAGTAACTGGAGACTGGGCTGTCTACACCTAGCAACAAAATTCAGAGTTCAAAGCACCTAGCAACCTAAATTCTCAACATTCAGACCCAAAAAGAATTCGCCTTGTAGTTCATAAGTCGGTCATTATTATTACAAACCGATGATTTTAACCATGATTGATTCTGGATTCCTTATGGTCAGGTTCAAAATATTTTATTTCTTTGATAAAAAAGCACTGACAGTAATCGCTAAAAAGTTAGATATTTAGTCAGATATTGTAGATAAGGGCTTTCCCATGTTTTATTGAAGAGGTTGTGACACTTTCGTAAGGCTGCTAAGGATCCTAGTGTACTCAACAGGGACATGCAACGGCCTTCTTGGCTCCTCCCTCGCTCCGCACAGAACTTGTGCAAACCAACATATATAAACCTAAAAACTGTTCATATACTATTCACAATGTAGGCCCACTTAAACACATTAGTCAAGAAATTCATGAGGAACACTGGGTAATGAGCATGAAAAATTCAGCTATCCAAAAAGAAAAAAACCGTCTTGATAAAATAGTACAGAACTATGGCAACGGCTAACCAAAATTTATATTGGCTTTCTGACTTACCGGCTTGACTTCCCCATTCCATATGCAATGAGTGGCCAAAAATCCAATTACCGCCGGAACAATATATAATAGTGCGGGCTGAAACAAAATCAAAGAACAGATGAAGAGGGAAGAACAGTTAAAAACACATACAAATGTGGGATACATGATTGCCCATCCATAAAATTTGGTAAAACAAAATACAGTAAACCGATGGTATTTGAAACAGATAAACGATCACGAATCACGCACCTGTGCTGCTTGAAACCAATTCATGACAACGATAGTAAGGACCACACCAACTGTGTATCCCAAAAAAGCACTCCTGAAATATTGGCTCTCTTTTCCCCTGGACACATCAAATCTCAATGCCAATGCCACAAAAATTCCTGAAGAACATGACCAATTAGAGAAAAATCAATTCGCCGTGATCGTATTCGTACTAGAAGTATCCGTTCGACCCCCACAAATAAAATAATATAGGAGAAATAAAGAAAAATATGACTGCCACAAGTAAAGTAATATAGGAGTAATAAAGAAAAATATGAAAAAAAATCTTTTTGCCTTGGCATGAAACAGCACAGAGTACATGTGAATTGATATGTGCATTTTTCTGGTAACAACATTGCATGCCCGTAATGATGAAAGGACTTGGCCAAATTCAAACCATCTTATTACTAAATACGTCAAAAAAAAATCTATTTATAAAAGACCTAAAAGAACTGTATTGTAACCTCTAGATTCTTCTTAAGAGTTGTTCTGTCAGTAAAAAGTCAAGAAACTCGGGAATTTGAATTCCAAAGCATACCCAACTTTAGACAGAGTAATTGAGTTCCAGTTTTCATGAACTCTTGTTTATGAATATTTCAGGTTAAGTAAGCTACCGTTCATTTTAATTGTAGAGTATTTTCAGTGCTTTTGAAGCCTATTTTATTAGTACCACAAGTTTTTATGACAGCAAGTAATCTTTCTCAGGTGACTGGAGGTAAGTTGCAGGGAAATTTCAATGCCTTCAAAGCGCCTTTGACCTGATACAACTCAACCCCAGTTTCTTTCCATTAATTTAAGTGCTTTCAAAGTTGCAATCAAATCTGCAAGCTAATCCCAGAACCAAAAAGCCTCAACCCAAAAAGATTGATTATTTCTCTCGTAAAAGATTCACTTCTAGCCTACAAACCCTAATGTATCTGTCAGAGTTCTTATCTATATAATAAAGTAACTTACAATTCAAATCTCAAAAGATAAACAAAATGACTTTTGCTATTCGCAGTTGAGATCGTTTTAAATTTTATTTTGAAATTAATCTAACGGCTAATATTAACATTCTAAATTTAATAGGAAAAATAAGGGCCTAAGGGTGTGCTTGGAATGACTTTTTAAAAGTACTTCTAAGAATTATTTTTCATAAGTACTTTAAAAAAAAAATAGTGTTTGAAACCGTCCTACCACTACCTCTACTGCCACCGCCACCGCCTCCACCACCACTGCCACTGTCACTACTACCATCATCACCATCACCGTCGCCGTTGCCACCACCACCACCACCGCCACCACTGTCGCCGTCGCCACCGCCGCCACCACAGTCATTGCCACTCACCACAATCATCACCGTCTCCTACCACCACCACTGTCGCCCATCATCTCTCACCCCCACTACAACTGATGCTTAAATTCATTTATTTCTCCTCTATGTTTGTAATTTGATTTTGGATATGAATACAAATATGTTTATTGTTTACTATTTTTTATTACTCTGTGCCTTCGAACACAGGCAATAACTAATTTTATATATTAGACATAAGTTAATTAGTGTAGGGTAATATTATAATTACTCTAATATTACTTGGTTATAAATCAGAATATATGGCAACCTATCCTACACTTCAGTTTATTCTCTCTTTCTCTTCCTCTCTCTATTTTCTCTCTCCTAACCCTAACCCTAACACTAATATTGTTTTTAGTGTTTCAACTCATCATAGGCATGTTCGACATTCCAACTCCCAAACAGCCCTGACCATTCTTCGCTTTATGCCCTCAAATTTTCACCCCTTTGCTATACCTTGTATAAACCTTAAAAACTCAAATATTTGTACCTTGCTTGTAGTTACAAAACCTTACATAAGGACCTCCCAAGCTCATTTTTCTTCCAATGCCCAACATTATGATAGTTTGCAGGTGAGTGACCAGCCCCCACTTGTCCCACATTAAGAGAAGAAGCGTGTACATTAGTACTTTAATTGGCACCCACCTCATTGCTACCACCTCATCAGTCCAAAAGAAAACATATCTGTCATGCATTCAACTACAAAAACAGCAGCTAAAGACAAAAAGAATCCAGGAATCTGAACTTCCTTAACTTGGTTATGCAAATATGTAGGAAAAATTTATTCTATTCATAATGAAGCTTCTGCTTGTGACAAGAAGAGAAGATGAGAGATTCTAAATAGGCTCATGAAAATAAACATAAAATGGAAACAGCGGGTCTGCCTCACCTGGAATAACTTGAACCTAAAGAAAATAACTTCAAAGTAAGGGAATGTGAAAGGGTTGAGTGGCCTCCAAGCATGAACAATGGACACCTTTTATGGAGCTGAATTATTGTGTCACAGAAATTTATTGGTGAAGTAGAAAGACAAAATACCATCTGTGAACTTATATAATCACATATACGAGAGGAAAAAATAAGTAAACTGAGAACAAGTGTAAACCCTTAAATTCAATTAGTCCAGTAATAAGTGTAAATATGTCTTCTGGTTGCAGGTTCACAATCATGGTTATACTTCCAAAAAATAAATAAGTTTGACTTTAATCTGATGCAATACCTGGAATTACTATGTCACCTAGTCCAAGCATCGAAAATGGGCGAGCAGAATCTGCCGTTGGGAATAAAAGCTGTAGAAGAATTAAAAAATTATTTCAATAAAAGGTTAAATAGTTAAAGTTGTTGACACTTAAACAGAAAAACCTATAATTATCAACACATAAATATTTAACTTGACCTGACATACTAACCTTTATAGGAGCATCGAAAGATTTAGCAACACTAACCATTACTGGGGTAAAAAAGACCCAGAAAATATCATATACAAAAAGCCCAGCCTGCAGTTTTCAGCATGGCAGGCATCAAATAAGAAACAAACACCAAGTCCATGGACTTGCATTGGCATATATTGGAAAGAAATAAATAAATCAAAAATATGCCTAACATATGATACAGAATTTGACACCAAAGTGTAAAATTAACAAAACGGCTACATCAAAGGAGGTATAGTCAACAAAAGGAAAATGGCATACGCAAACACAAGCAACGCCACTCCCCCTACCCATTTTTCCTCTCCCAAGACCAAAAGTACATTTTATTTTAGCCCCTGAAATTTGGCCTTACAACATTTTACCCTCTATGGTTTCAAATTGATGCATAACTCTTGTGGTTTTGGAACAATCTAAACAATTTAACAATGTTACGGAAGAGGTAAAATGACCTCCGTACCCTCAAAATCTCAGTCACTAAAGCTTCATGTAGATGTTGTGTTTGGAGTAGAAGTTTTGGTGCTCAAACACATGGGTCGACAATGTGGAGTTTGCACATGCCACATTAGGTCTTGAAGACACAGGTCACTCCATTAATGACCCAAGATGTTGACCAAACAATACGCACTACTGAGCCAACGAAGTTCCAAATAAACTTGTTACGTGGCTTATGCCAAATCACACCCATGTCACCATTCATTTCCCCAACCAGAGTTCCACATAAAAAATTCTCTTATTAATTCATCGAAAAATCCCTTATGAAGTCCAATGCCAACGCCACATGCCACAAAAAAAATTCATCCTCTCATTGTCACGGCAAGAGGGTGGAAGAGGTAGTGGAGAATGGGTGGTGATCTAGGTTCTCCATTTCTTATCGAGGTTGGAGGTTGGTTTGGTGTTACGTGAAGTATTATTTGCCAAAAAGGAACTGAAAGACTATACCTGGGATTGTCTTGATTTAGGGATGAAAATTTGATGTGTTTCATGTTACTGCAAAGGTAGGTGGCTGTTTGGTTTGTGTCTCCAAACCAATTTTCTAGTTCTAAAAAACAGTAAAACTCTTTAGATGCTATTTGAACAACAATTTCCAAAAACAACTTTTCAAAAACAGTGGGAATTGAGAATAAAAATCTAGAACACATCATTTACTCTGAGTTTTCAAGCCAAAATAAAAAACAAGAGAAACAACCCCTAAACTCTTTAATGATGTCTCCCCTTTGAATCTCCTTACAACAAAACTAGTCATAGTATATAGGCTTCCTTTTTTTTTTTTTGGCCTTCCTCTCTCTCTCTCTCCACTTTGCCTCTCAGACTGAACAAACACACACACACACACGGAGCTAACGCCTTTTCCAGCGTCTTCTTCTCCACTGCAACCGTTGAAGCTCTATCTCACTTCAACTTCTTCTCCAACGCAACCAGAAGCTTCAGATTTGATCTCTCTCTCGTAATAACTGAAACTTCAAATCTACACAAATTTATGTGTGAGTGCGTGCGTGTGTGCATCTGTGTGTGTGTATACGTCTGCGTGTGTGTGTATGCGTATGCGTGTGTGTGTTTTGTAGAGATAGAGAGGGGAAAAAAAAGAGGTGGGAATTGTGAGTTTTGTGGATTATTGTCCAAACAAATTTTACATATTATTATTCTTTAAAACTATTTTCAAAAATATATAACCAAACAGGTTTTACAATCTAAAATTTTCAAAAATACTTTCTTAAAATTTTTCTCAAAAACTATTTTCGAATACTGTTTTTTGAGATGCAAACAAATAAGACCCTAGGTCTTTAATTTTTTTTGTTTCATCTCAATCCCTTTATCTTCGCGGGTCAAACCGATTGGGCTCTCTGGAAGTGGATCTCCTCCTTTTTCTTCTCCATGCCGTTTTTTCTTTGTTTTTTCACTACTTGTCAGAGAATTGCAGATGGGATTATAGTTGTATTTGTCCGACTCAGATTGAGTCAAACAATTTAACCCCGAGTTGGCTTGATAAATCCGAGTCATAATCAAGTCAACACCGATTCAGACAAGTCTCGTGATATTCCTGTAACATGTAGCATTATTAGGTTAGAGGTGGCCGAGTTAGATATGTCTTGGCCGATACTTTGAATCATGACTTCGACACATCAAATATTTTAAAATTTGTGCTTGTGTGTTTGGCGACAGAAGTGCTGAGCTGAGCATGGTTTTCTTTTGTTTGTGTGCTTGGCGGTGGAGGTGTTGGATACATATGCATGAGCTGTCTAGTGAATTTGTGGTGGTGGTGTAGATAAACTTGTGGTGGTAGTGATGGAGCTGGTGATGGTGGAGAAACATAATTGGAAGAAGAAAAAGGAGAAATTGGGAAAGAAGATGAAGAAGGGTATTTTTGTCTTTTAATCGTGACTATTTTTGGATGGAAACACCTTTTTGTTACGTCAACCTGCCTCTTGAGTGCGTGCATTGCACAAACTGACTGTTTGGATGGGAATGCTAACGATAACACCTTATTGAAAAACCACACGAGGATTATGTAGTTGGTTATTATTGAACAACATATAAATAGAGTGTTACAGAGCACGTAAAAATTACCAACCCTCCCCCCTCTTAAAAAAACAACAGTGTAAGTGAAAGATATGGAGACAACAAAAATGAAACCACCCAAAGAAATGCACAAAAGAATAATAAAAGCTATGGAAAACTACTCTACCAAGACCAAGGACATAGGAACCAAATAATAACTGGAAAACAACGAAGTAACCTACCTATGGCATGCACCTATAAGAACAATGCGTCTAAAATATGACAAAAAGCTAATCCAAAGTATCCATTCCTTACCAAAAGTATAGCACCAGTCTTAAATGACCCAAGTGAAAGCATTTCAATTCCCTGAAATTTCAGAATCCAAAAAAAGAAACTAATAACCATAAATAAAGAAATGATTCACAAAGAAATATAACATTTTTATTGTTTTTAATAAAAAATTAAATTGATGCCTTCAAGATATCTATAAAAAGAAAATTTTACTTTTCATATAAAGAATGCATGAACATGCATGCCAACAAGATTGAATACATTTTGAATATAGACAACAAACATGTTATGAATATCAAATCCTGAACCCATATGACAACAATCTAAGTAGAAGAAAATTCTTGCAAGGGGTTTGTGTTTGTGCATATAATTGTCTTTGGCACTATTTAAGACACATGTGATGCTTCCGAGATACACCCAAAAGAGATAAAATCAAATTTTTTAAATAACTAATTTTTGGTTTTATCTTTTATATTTGATCGCTATTAAAGAAGTTATGTACAAAAGTACACATCTACATATTTCCATGTCACATGGGTTAAGGTCACAATATCGACTATCAATTCAGATGACACTGAGATGCATTGATCGGACGATACACACAAAATACTAAATAGAAGTTGGATAGATGAGACATTCAAGTCATATTGGGCATTGCAAAATGGTATGGACGAGGCGTTTTGACTCGATAACGAAAACTCAAACAACTCAGCTGAGTCTATCGAAACGTCTCCGATGTTACTCACAAGTTAATAGAGACTGTCGAGACTTGTGGTTTACAAAGATATGAGTTGTTCTCTTAGTGGAAAATGTAAAGTAGGATACGACTCAACCGAGTCCGATATGCTATTGTACCATTTTCTGCACATTTGAACAAAAATGGCATAGCAATGTCGTAGATCCCATAAACTTGCCTGAGGATTTCCAAAGTGGACGGGACTTATCTAACCAAACATTTACTACAGCATCACCTCTTTTGCCAAGAAAACTTGACCATTTTTTGAAGGGGGACCAAGAGGTCACAAATCCATGATTGAGCTTCAAATTCAATGGTGGCAAGCCCGTAATTACAACAAAGTCCATATCTAGATTGCATCAATTGGGTAAGTGTTACACCCCTAGTGTTTCACCTTCACAACAAAGTCCCAAAATCAACCAAACAAAAAAGGACACACTCTCATTAGCACATCATATGACACATTATCAACTAAAATTCCAGTGGAATAAGTTAACAAGAACGGATGATTAACTTTGAGCTTAGGGTTGTTCACTCACTATACTTTAAAATGGACAAGGATGAGGCTCAGTCTTTAGCCCAAGTTTGTGAAAACATCTTCTAAGACAACACTATGCAGCAACTAAAGTCAATAATCATGATATATGACAACCACTGCAACAAAACGAGTTTTGGATAAACACTACCTTTTTTTGCTAACCTTCTTGTTCACCATCACGCGTGTGGTGAGAAGAGCACACAAGACAAGACATATAGCTGCTAGTCTTACTCTTATCATCACCACACCCATACTTAGCTTCCTACATTGAAACCTCGATAACTGCTTGTCGAGGAGTGGCACTGGCAACCAAACTCCATTATCTCAATGTCTACCCCATGACTTGAAACTTAGGCACAAAAAAGGCCATAGCCATGACAAGTACGATATTACATCTCATCTTTGACCTTAGGTTCAACATTAGAACTCAAGCGCTGGTCAATGCATAAGAATCATCCAATGGTTTAGAGGATAAGAATTGTGCAATTAACTTCTCCTTTTCGATGTTTATTTTGCATAAGAGTATTCATAAAGGACCTCTAGAGAAATTTCTAACGAAAGAAGCTACTTGGATGGATTCATCTCATGGATAGACCATACTGACAGCAAGTTTAGAGGCATTTTGGAGCCTAAGTCCATTCTTATATATAGCAATGTTAACATCCTTATTCTGCTATAAACTGATGTTGGACAAGTGTGGCAAACACTCACCTATAAGTATTGATACCCAAGTTGATGATGGGCAATAGAAGGAAAGGTTATTCTGGGGGCTGTCTAAGGCTGGTTTGGTTTTGTGTGTGTGTGTGTGTTGCCAAATACAACATCTGACAATTTTTCAATGGATGCTCTCAACCCCTCAATTTTTTTTTAAATGTTGAGTGCATCACTCCAGAACATTGTGACATCCCTCACCAACATGCAGCATCACTCTTAAATGAAGTTGCATCCACCTTATCAACCTCATAATCTTTTGAGCACACCTAAAACTTACATGAAAGCTTGGCATCGGTAACCATGACGGTAGAAAATGAAAGGGAAAAAAAGGTTGAAGAAATATAAGCATTTAGGTTTGATACCAAACAAAAGTAGGACTAGTGTGGGAAACACCCTCTTCAAAAGATGATACCACACATGATATGATCTGTTGTATAAAGTTCTTTAATGCCAGATTATGGATGATTTTCATGTCTATAAGGGCTGTCAAGAGTATGGGGTTTCAGGGTTTGAAAAGGTGTTAGGGTTTCGAGATCGTGTCTTCGAGAGGAAGAGCAAGGCTTAAGTCGCAGTTTGCGATTGTGACAAGTGGCCCATGGAGGGTGTGTTAGGCAAAAGACAAACCTAATATTTGGCATTATTTGCACAAAGTAGTAGTGTTCAAATTTGAACTCACAACCTCGCAGTTGGTAGTTCAAACATTTTGCTTCTACATAAGCCCTAAAGAAAAATACAATACAATTTTCTTGAGATATGATGCTTTCAGACCTGAATGCAAAATGCGAGGCCCAATATATTGTTAGCCAGCCAATGCTTCTGAGAAGCATACCATGCACAAAAAAAGGTTCCTGGTATTGCTGCAACAATCATAGACCTTGTGAACTCAACATCCAAAGCTGTGTAAGAAACATGTAAAGAAAACCATCATTCTACATAGTGCATTGCAAGATAATGTCAATGAGATCAAACCAAAATTGAGAAGAGAGAAAAACTTAAATAGAATGTTGATGAACATCTTGAGAAATCATAACTTTATAGAACCAAGATTTGGGTAACAAAACTCACAAAAAATGCATAGTAGAGATTTTTTTTTGTCGGAGCATAGTGGAAATTTCAGACCACCCTTATCTAAATAAGAAAGTTGGACATTGGGAAGGAGGGAGAAGGTTTTTCCAGTTGGGTTACTAAAAATAAATAAATTCACCAAACTTAACAGGAAACAAATATATGCCGGTAAATTCCATTCATGGAAACTATTTCTAAAAATATGGTACAATTGAATATTATATAACAATGAGGTAGAGAACAATATGTTATGAGTGGCACTACAGACATAGAATTTAAGGTAAACAATGCACTTCTCTTCCATCTCATCATCCCCCAACTAAGACCCCTAGTTTAGGCATTACATGAGACAGCTAGATGATGTATAGACTACACAATTTTTTTAGTGATGACGAAAGGACATTCACCAAAACATGGCAAAAAACAGTGTGTAACTCAAATGGACATGAATCATAAGTGAACAGCCCAATCCCTCATAGTTTTTTTCCTAAATTGTTCTAAGCTTTCAATCAAAGCATAGAAAACTTGACTTTATGTGTGCTCTGATCAGGTGCTTCACACGTAGAGTGTGCTCTCGATTTAGAGAACTTTTCTTGTATAGACCTGGTCATATGTTTCCAAATCCATGTACAAGTCAAAAAAAATTTACATATAGTGCATCCATTAGCAACAAAATAACTTTTTTTTAATAGGAAAATTGGTTGTTTTAATTGTCGATAAATGACATTATTATAAGCCATTGCAAACTCAACCCCAATACAACAGCACCATGTAACTTTGTCAACTAAACAACCTGTGCAAAAATAAAACTGAGTCACAAAGTAGTAAAGAACTATCAAAAATAAAACTGGTATTGACAACCCTACACAAGAAAAAAAAAATGCATCCATCAAGGAACAAACCAGTAACTAAAAAATGACAAGAACAAATAATAAGCATTTCTAAAGGAAAGAAGGACGAAATGCCTACCATGGAAATATGGAAAACGCCAGCTTATAAGATCCTTATTCCAATGCTTTGGCAGAAAACGACTAATTGCAGGTAACAATGTCGCCCTGCACAGAATGAAGAAAGGAAGCAGTGAGATAAATAAATAGAATTATTTCTCAACAACTTGCTTCACCTATTATGTGTAGTAGAAAGACCCATACAGAAAAAAACATACGAAAGTGCGGCGATTCCGAGTACAAAGAAGTAGCATGTCAGCACAGCATTGACCAAGTCTTTCGATAGAAACTTAAAAAGCAAGAACAATGACAGTAGCATGGCACTCCCAACCAAGGGGAACCGCATGGCATGTTCATTGGACATTGTCTCCTACAAATTAAACACGTCACAGTTTTAGGCAAGGTTAGATTCAATGAGCAAAGTATAGAAAAAACAATGGGCCACAACATGGATGGCTGCTTTTCTTACTGAAGGTGGAGTAGGCTTGACAGAACGGTAGCAACCCACGAAAACAGTGAGGGAAGCAGTCAAAATGACATTTAAATTTGGGTCTACCTTCACCATGAGTGGTGCCAAAGTTAAACCTGCAACCAATAATAAGGATATGCATAAAAATCTAAGGCAAACACCGAATTAACCTGCAACAACAAATATGCAACCGTACAAAACATTCAAATAACAGGAATCACCGGGCTACAACATAAGGACTAATATACACTGGCTTGCAAGTTTCCCTACGATCCATTGCACTGGACTGCGCAGGTTTAATAAGTGGTGTACCTATATATAAGAATGATTTTAATCATAACATTGGTAGTCCAACCAATCCGCGGTTAGAAAATGAAAAAAGGATCACACCTCCTATTGGTTTTGCTGAGAGCCACTAGCAACTTGTTTCTTGCAAATTGTAATAGATAGACATATAGCGACTTCAAGGGGTGAAGTGCTCAAAAATGAAAAGGAGGAACTCAATCATAGAAAATAAATACAGGGTTCCTATTACCTTGTCTTAGTCCTTTAATCTTGTTATAATTTGAGCACATACAACAAGATTTTTAAGGGAGGTACTGTAGACAGATCTTGAAATGGTACCTATTTCTAGGTTTCTTGTAATGGGAGAGGATCCTTATGCTTGGGACTTCCATTTCTTCATGCTCCTAGAATTTAGCTTCTTTGCTAGTCACTCTTCATAAACTCCATCTCTCATCCTCTTGCGATTGTAGACCATGGACTGTAAATAAATCACTTGGAGACCTTTTTACTCCTACCCTGTTAGTTCCTAAATGCTCATTCCTTTTCGTTAGACAAATTTATTTCACAGAAAAAATTCACTCGAAAATCAAGGCTTTTGTTTGGTGTTGTCCTCGACAGGGTGAATACTAAAAATTTCTTACAAGTGTGTATAGCCTACGTGCCCTGAACAATGTTAAAGAAGGAAATAGTTTGAATACGAAATAACATATTTTAACTACATCATTAAGTAAACTAAATAGAAAAAAATTAAGTATCACATCACATTGCAGTAACAGAAATAAATCATATACAATATCATGCACTAGGGAAGAAAAACCAAACCTGCTAGAGCAATGTTTGCAAAACACTCAAGATTCTTCATCATCAACGCCGCAAATTAGAACCTTTTCCACAAAATTCAAACCACTCAATACGTTCCTGACCACCGATAAAGCACAGGAACAAGAATCTAAGATTGGTACAGTGAAAAATGTAATCTTTACAAGATTGTCATAATATCCAATCAGTACAAAATGAAATCTTTTCAAAGACTATCATAGTGTTTTGTTCATAGCAAATTGTAATTTTACGAAAGGCCATCACAATAATGGGTAAATATCATATGTGAAACTGTGGTCTTTTGAAGGTTATGACAACATTTCATTTGTACTATCTATATTATTTTGTACACAACAAGAGTGAGCTCATTACCCAGTCTAATCCTGCTGGAATGGATGGATTAGGAATAGACCTAACATTTGCCATCATAGCACAAAGAAAACTATATTGTAATCGAACCCACAACCTCATGATTAAATACGTAAAATTGTAATCTTGCAAAGAGTAAAGTACTGTAAATATAAAGAAATTATAGTATTCTCCAATTGATCACAAAATGAAATCTATAGGAGAAAAAAGAATCTTTTCAAAATTTTCAGGAAATCAAAATTCCAAGATCGCGTAATCCAAGACCCATTTGCTTCATTTCAGAATAAACCCTATGTCTTTGGTATTTAATCAACCATCAATCAAAAATCCAAAACCCATTGCCAAGTAAAAAATAGAAATTCCACAAATGTTACAGAGACACAGAGGGACACATTTACATACAAATTACAATTGGTACCTGGGAGGAGAGAAACAGATGCGGACTCTCTTTCTCTCTCTACTGATCACTAGACAAGCAGATCGGAAAGACCACGTGGACAAGAGAGATTTAGACACAGAAAATGAAGGCTCTTTGCAGAGAGAGGGTTTTAGTGGGAGAGGGTTAATTAATGCATTGCAAGGCGTCACAATTACTGATGGGGGGGAGCCACGTGTGGGAAACGTCTGCTGACCAATCAGGGGTTGCCACGTCAGATTAGATACATCTTTTTCTTGGCATAGTTAGGGGGAATTACACTTTAAACCCTGAAATATTTAAGAATTCTCACTTTATACTTTCAAGATTAAAATTTTTCCATTACACTTTTAATGTATTAAAATTATTACAATATAACCCTTATTTTAATTTTTGTTACTAATTTCGTCAACAACAATGGAGTAATTTTTGACAAAATAAAAAACAAAAAGACAATATTTCAATGAAAAGTTAAAACTTTGAAAATACAAAATAAAAGATTTAAAATTTTTTGAGGTATAAAGTGAGATTCTCCCACACAGTTAATAGGCAAATAGAGAATTATTAAAAGCAATGATATAAAATCTAAAAAATTATGACCCAAATACATATTATCATTTGGATGAGTGAGTTCTATCAATTTTTTCAGTAAGACTCACTCATTCCATAGCCATCCAATGAATGATATACATTTTTGTTTTAGCTGTTATATTTTATTTGGGTTATGTATCATTTTTTTTTATCAATTATGTATCATTTTTCAATTATGAATTAAGTATGGATACTTTTTTTCCACAATGGCATGGATAATGTTAGATTTATCAAAAAAAGAAATGGGAAAATAAAATAAAAATGATACAATGCTGGTATAGTGATATTCTTTGTCTTTTCCTTTTTTCATAAAAAAAATTAATATTCAATCCACGGCATTTGATAAATTTTTTGTCTCATTTTTTGGTCAAACTAATATTAATGACTCAAAATTTGTGTGAATTTAAATTTGAGTAAAAATAGACTAAAAATAAGTTTCAGTATTTTACTCAAATTAATACATATGTCAAGAACCTATATATGACATGACTTGTTAGCACGAATAATAAATAAATTAGGTTAGTGTCAAACACGAATAACACGGAATTGACAGAATTAACACGTTTAAATAGTACTAGTAATGCACGATGTGCAACAACACGTGAAATTTTTTGTTGAAAACATATAAAAAAATCTAATTATATTGCTATATTAGATATTATTTCATATTTATCATACTTAAATTGTTTATATTCTCTTCATAATTATAAACATCCAATAAACTTATTTTTTATAATTCTTCCATTTGAGCTATCAAGTAGTAATACTTATAATTTTTTTTCTTTTTTTCTTTCTTAATTTTACTTTATGCATTAGTAATTTTTTACCAAATTATTTTAATTGTAAATAAATAAATAAGATAAATATATCCTTTTTTAGACATTGTAGATGATATTGTATCAACGGAGTTGTCAACCTGTATTAAAATTAGGTTTTGAAAAAAAAAAGAATAATGTTATTTTTGTATATCATGTCAAGTATAACATAATCGTTCAAAAGTTTTGAAAAGATAGATAGATTTGTATAATATATTAGAGATTAGTTTGTTATTTAAATATAAAAAGATATAATAATAATTTGTATAGTAAAATACAAGAGGACATATTAGCCTTTATTACTTTTTATAAAGTAAAAGAGTGAATTAAATTTTTTTTCATGTTAAAGTATTTTTATTAGTAGTATAGATTATAAGAATAAAAATAATTTTTTATTATATTTTATCAAATAGTGATTTAATTATTATATAAAAAAATAGATATATTAACTCATTATTATTATTATATTTATTTAGTTAATTTATAGTTTAAAAAAAATATATGAACATAAGTTCAATTAAATAATAATAAAATTTTAGACATAAAACTAAGTATTAAATTTTTTATTCACGGATTATATGGTCAACACAAACATGATACCAAAACAAATAAGTTGACACGATTTAGTTAAAATAGTTGATTTAGAGTTTCATGATGTACAAAATAGTCTTTTACAAGATCAACAATCGAGTATGTGATAAAATATAATTAATGGACAATTAATGGAGCAATCAATGACAATAATGTAAATATCAGATCAACACGCAGATATATAGTGGTTCAGTTCGGATGATCTACTCCACTTTGAAAAAATAGTAACGGTGACAGGGGGACTTTTTATTGATTAAGTAAAATGAATGAGAGAAAACAATGATTAGCTTCGGGAGGGATATAATAACTACGAGAGAGAAAAGTTATGTGTAAAGCGTGTAGAGAGAACTTATAATTTATAGGCACAATTTTAGTTGAAGCGATGGCGTGAGGATAAATGTACTAGATCTTCAGGGAGTTTCAAAAGGTAAGTACAATTAAATGTTGCATTTGATCTTCGAGAGTAAGTATTCTAATAATTGTTCCCCACATGCTTTAATCCTTTTGGACTGCTTGAACTCTGAACTGAGCCGAATCCATAAATTGGACTTGACTCGCCTTGTAACTGATTTGAACCTAACTCATTAATTAAGCCTGACCCAATTAAATCTGAACTTGTCAAAGTTGACAAGTATTTTACACGAACCTAAAATAACTCAACATAAACACGAGTCAACCCCTTACAATTATCGCCCCTATTTGATGATTGTTTTGTTTTTAAGCCACACCATACCATAATTTTGAGTAAATACTATTTGAATTCGTGTTTATTGAATTGATAGTAGACCCCAATATTTATTGAGAATCATAATCAATATAATAGTTGTGACAAATTAAATCAACAAATTAAGTTCAAATAAAAGTGCTCTATAATTTTATCAAAATATACAATAATATGTGTTTAAACAATAACCAAACAGGATTCTAAAAAACCAATAACCAAACACTTATAATTATTGCTCGTGTCAAATGGATACAAGCAAGTGATGGTAATAGACAATAGTCCTCCACTCGGTCAACCCTCTACCACCCCTACCCCAAATTTTGTAATTTCATGGGTGCACAATGTGTCGTAAGAAAAATTTGTGCATGAAGTAGAGTATAAATGTTCAAAGCATGTGAACAAGTTTTTGAAAATCATCAATTGTATTTTAAACAAAAAAGGTAGTAAACTTTGGCATCGTATTTCATTCATTTTTCCACTTTAGAGAGAGCAGGATTTCTTTTTTTTCTTTTTTTTGGGGGGGGGGGGGGTGGGGGAGCCCTTCAACATGTAACACCCCGCATTTTCTTTTATATATGTATATAGATATATAGTAAATAATTGTGATAAAAAAATGTGAATATATGTAGTGATGTGTGTTTGAATTTAGTAGATTGTAAAAATAGAGATTTAAAATGTTAGTGAAAATAATAGTTGAAATTTGGTTTTAATAAGTGAAAATATGAAATTTTAGGTCCTAGAACTTGTATTAAATAGGTTTGGTGTAGAAATATGTGTTGGAGAGGTTTGAGATGGATTTGGTTGGCTTAGGAATGGATTGGAAATGGAAAAGAGACGAAGACAGGCCGTGAACAGTGCACGTGAACAGTGTACTACTGCAACTTCAAGCTCGATTTAGACTTTGATGCAGTCAATATCTCTCAAAACTCAACACCTGAAAGTTTTAGAGATCTTTCGTATCATTCCATAGCATCTTGAATCATCTCAATCGGAGCTTGGATGAGAAAGTTATGCTCAGATAACGAAATGATATCGAAATAATTCAATTAGCTTCGTTTTACATTTAATATCTCAATTTGCATCATAAATCAAAATATAAGAATAATGAGTACTTTTAGGCTTCAAATAAGTATAAAAGGCTTTAAGAAATACCATTTATCACATTTTATTTGTAAACATCACAAAACTTCATTAATAGCCGATTCAGATGGGTAAAATAGAAACTTTAGTGTTTCGGGTGTACGTTGACTTGAGTTTTGAGATAAATCATAAAAATAAATGTTTTTAGCTTAAAATAACATTAAAAATGAATCCGGAACGTCGACAAACCTTAGGGTAGTCATATAGGTCAAATTGGAGATTCTTAGTGGTAAAATCGTAAATTTGGAGAAATCCAAAACAGCCTGTAAACAGTGTTTTTCGGGGTTGCTATGTTTTAAACTCATTTTCATCTCATTTGCTCTCATTTCCTTCACTCCCCTTATACCCTCACACCTCTTGAAACCCTAGAGGGCAGTAGAGAAGAAGAAAGGAAGGGAAAAATAAGAGATTCAAGGGTGATTCAAGATCAAATATTCTTGTTCTTCACTCAAAAGCTAAGGATTCAAGGTAGGGGTTTTCTCTCATTCACTTACATTGAGGTTAGGGTATTTATATATGTATGTTTTGGCTATCAATTGTATATATATGCTATGGAATCATCATCTCTTAGACTTTTTGCAAGAATTACATGTTTTGAACAAGTAGGGTTTAATACCCATGAAATCTCTTTTCTAGTTTTAAAACCCTAATTTTTAGATAGTGATGTATTTTCTTCCTAAATGCTTTCTTTATTATTGATTTTGAAACCTTAGTGCTTTGTGTTGGGTAGAAAAATGATATTATTGTGATCTCATATATTTTCTTAGTTGGTTGTGGAATTGTTATATGATATATTTTGAGAATTTTAGATAGATGTTTGTAAATTGAGATAAATATTAGAATTGTATGCTTGATTGGGTTGTTTATGATGCACATGAGTGAGAGGTTCCTTGTAAGGATGCTCACCCCTTGCCAAGAGGTTCCCGGTAAGGATGGTTAGGAAATAATACAGTGATTGGTGAGAGGTTCCATGTAAGGATGCTCATCCATTTTTAAGAGGTTCTTGGTAAAGATGCTTGAGAATCAAAGGTGACCTAAAGGGAGGGGTGGAGGTTACCACAAAGTATGCCACCTACCGAAAAAATTATTGGGAATTAGTTATGACAATTAATGGTTATTATTTGTATGT